TCCCTACTCCCTACAGTAAATTTTCTTAACCTTGAAGTTTCTCATGCAAACCATTTCCAGAAATCTACCTCAAAATGTTTTAGATGGAAGGGTGTTTTTCTAGGTGTTAGTTAGCTTAACTTTTAAGAAAGGGATCATTTCTATTCCATGCTGTAGCATGGTAGTATGACACAGAAAAGGCTCAGTTTCTGTCACAACTGAATATTAATTTATAAGTTAGTAATTGCTTCCTCAGGTCACCTGTCCTGAATTCTCCCTTTGCTCGTTGATTTTAATAACTTTCAGTTGGCAATGCTATACACGTAGTTTGTGAAATATTTTTCACAGTAACTGTAAATGGCTAAGTTTTATCATGAGGACCCTTCTCTGGCCCTCTTCCAGCCACTCAAGGGATAAGAAGTCTGTGGGAATCTACTCCCTGGAACCCATGGCCCCCGTTCTAGATCAGGCCCCAGTATGCAGGACCCTAAAATTCCCTGTTCACATAGCTTTAATTTTATTCTACAGCCTGTACAGGATTTTTTCTTTGGATTCATTCACCCAAGGACAGACCACCCACCAGTGCATGTGCCTTTAGGCCTGAGGGGTGCCCAAGGGTGGCTATTTAAAGGGGTGGGAATAGAGCTTGGATGTGTGGGCTGGACTGCCTACGTATGTGTGTGAGGCAACTTGCAGTGCAGGACAGAGCTGGAGGTGGGAAGAGAGTGGGGAATGCTTTGGGCCAGGACTGGCTCTCCTATACTGCCAGCTTTCCAGCTTGAGTTCTGGAGTGTCCAACCTGGCCCTGCAGACTTTATTATAAAACATGTATTTGTCAAGGTGAAAAAAATACAACATTTTATTTCACAATTATTTGTAGGCTTAATTTACATATTTCAAATATTTATACATATGGTAGAGGGACTTCCATTTGTACTCTTGCCCTGAGCTCTGCATATATTAGGGGCAGGCCTAAATCAAAGTCTTTCATAGCCTACAAAACTAAGGGCATACATTTACTATCATCACTCAGTCAAATAATGATCCTGCTCATTTCTAAGCCAATCTAATGAATTCCACACCTAATGAATTTATAAGAAAAAAAGGAAAAAAAAAAAAAAAGAAAAACATCTCAAGCTAAAATAGAGATATTCTATTAAAACAAACATGACCTTCCAATATGGCTTAAAAGGATTTACCTAAGAAGAGCAAATTCCAAGTTTTAATAGACTCCAATATGCTACCATATTAGAGTACCACATATTATGGTACCATAATATGTACCATATTAGAATGAGATCAGGAGGAGATGAAGTAAAGAGGGTGGGTGGAGCTTTTGTACCATGCGAATTCTGTAGCGCCCCTAAGCAAACATGGCGGTGATCCTGTGTGTGCCACTTCGGGGCAGAGAGACCAGCGAAAATGGTGCTCTCGAGGCACTTCTATCCCAGACATCTTCTCTGGTTAATAAAGGTAAGGCTTTTTCTTGAACTATTTGGATTATAATAGTGGCAGAGTTGGATAAGTTTATATGACTGGAAGCTATCATCTATAATCATCCTCAGAAAAAGACCACTGCATTATAATTAGTTCTCGAAAATAGATCACTTGAATATGTTGTAATCAAGCAAGAATAGAAATAGGAATATAAACCAGAAGACTTGCTATAGGCAAGAATAGAAACAGAAATAGAAACCAGAAGATTGGCTATAGGCAATAAGTGTTGTCTATCATTTTTACTTGATGAACTACTGACTGGTTGCTTAAAAAGAAAATTCTTTAAAAAGATTTTTTTTCTGTTTTGAGATGCTGCTTTTTTTGACCTCCACACATTCAGAAGCCTGCATGCCTTGAGTAATGCCATCAGTTGGTTCTGCTATCTTACTTAACATGTCCATAAGGATCAAAAATACAGGACAGACTCATTGAGGCTGTTTAAAGTAATTGTTTTATCTCTTCCTTAGAAAGCATATTATGCTATTTTTTCCTTACTGTTATAAGATATTATTTACCTTGACAAATGTGAGTTTGCAAATGCAAACACTGCTTTTGGTATTTCTAATGGTTACTTCTCCATAATGCTCTATCCATCTCCTCCCACTGAGAATGTTGTGTATGCATGTAGTGACTTTATTCCACACGTAGAAATCTCCATACCTAGTGAAGAATACAAAATTGATTAAAAACAATGAGGGTCACACACATATATTAGTATTTCTACTAATGAGAATATTCTTTGGCCAAAGTGTCCTTTCATTTTCCTCTTATTCTTTGTTGAAAGTTTCTGTGTAATCAAGAATATTTATGACACGATTCATTCATTTGAGAAACAAGCCAATGCTTTTTACGGGCCAGGTGCTAAAGCTACCAAGTTGAATAGGGCCTATTTCTTGCTCTCTTGGAGCCAACAGTATAGCAGGGGTAGATGGACATGTCAACAAATACTTATAATAAGATATGAGAACATGGAAGGGGTGTCCTTAGTCCTCAGATCTTCCTGAAATGTGGGGTGAATGTCAAGGAAGACTTGCTAGAGGAGGCTGGGGAAAGCATCATAGGATAGAAGAGCACAGCACATCTGGGGACCTGCAAGTGGTGTGCTATCAGTGAGTGCGTGTGGCAGGAGGCAAGGAAAAGGTATGATGGGGCAGAACAGGAAAGGCCTTCAAGACACACCAACGAATCTAGATATACCCCGCAGGCAATGGGTCATCCTGGAAGGATCTGAGAGAAGAGAGAGGCAGATAGGGCATACATTTAAGAAAGATTACTCTGAAGCATTGTTTCACACTCTGAATTAAGACCAAAAATGTGAATAATTCCTTGGGAAAAGACTGACAAGCATAACTAAGATGGTACACATCCAATGCAAATTCCAGGGAGTAAGGTTACAGATTTTCTGTCAATGAACAAGATTTCATAGCTTGAAATCATATTGCATGTTTTATATATATATATTTAAATAAAATGTTACTTCAAAATAAAATAAAATGCTTCTAAGTTTCAAAAAATATGAGTTGGTATGATGCAGGCATTATATACACCTGGGAAAACTTTTGTCCTCATGAGTTTGAAAAGATTTAAAGTTTATTTTGTGGTCCTAGGAATTCCTCCCCCTCCCCGTCTTCCTCAATATCCAATCCATCAGTAAATCCTATCATTCAAACAGACAAAACCCAAACCAAACCAACCAACTGAAGCCAGAAACAAAACCAATCAAGCCTTTGGCCTCGATGAAAACTTCAATTAATATAAAAAGATTTACTGGCTGTCTCCACTAGAAAACGACTATAAAAGGATTCCATCACTCCTCCTTAATAAAATAACATAGAAATTAAAAATAGCTAGGATCTAAGATGAACTCAAAAGTGAAAAATTATATAGAAAAGAAATGGCTAAAAAGAGACCCATATTAAATGCTAACTAACACAGTGACTGGGACAGGTAGGTACCTGGTGTCGACTGATGAATAGATGATGTGAAGAGATAAATAGGAAGCTTTAATACACACGCTAAAGTTCTCATTCATTTTTGTGGGAGACCATTCTCAAAATTTTGGTGATGTTAACAGACACTTTGGCCATACAGGGAAATGGACCCTTGGTACCATCTAGAGTTTCAAACACCTATTTCCAATTTAGGAAATCAGATAAGAGACCAAAATGATGACAAGAGCCACCTACTTTGGAAGCATGACATTCAGTGTTCCAACAGGCAGGATTTCCATAGACTTCCCCCAGAACTTGTTTTTCCATCTGATATCTAAATGACATAAACAGATGATAAGAAATATATACTTCATATTTTATAGAATAATGACTTACTTATTCTACAAAAACTAACTTTTGTATTATACTTTACATTTTACAAAAGAACCTTTGTAATCATAACTGATTCTATATTGTTGATTTAACATGACAAGTGCCTAAGGATGGCCCAAGGTGAAAAGATTGTGAACCAAAAAAAAAAATCTACTATCAGTTTTTCCATAATACATGCTCCGTATTTATTTTCAACTAATAAACTAGGAAAAGCCTGGAATAATGTATGTGTACATATTCACATACACATATACTTCGCTATGTTTTAATGTGTACATAAATATTGTTATAAGTTTTAACTAAATGGTGGAAACAGTTTATACATATACAGTGAGGCATATAGCAAAAATAAAGGCAGTATGACAATTCCATTGAAATATATACACATTTATTTGAAGAGTTATATGATTTGGGAGAACAGTACAAAATAAAACCTCTAAACACAGATAGGTAAGATTTATGAGAAAGTGGTATTAACTTAATGAACATGTTTCTACACTGGTTAAGGTTTGGCCCAGGGCCCAGCACTTTATCTCACATGATAGCTTTATGTTTTACTCATGATTATTACCTGTGCCTTCGTAATAACCACCTGGCCTCATTTTGATGAACTTAGTGCTGTTTCCACAATATTTTTGACTCTTCGTTATGACCAAGAAATGATTTATTTTCTTATTTTGCAATAAAGTGCAGTTACAGATCTCTTTCATTCTGTATGTTTCCAGGTTGAAGAAGTGCATATGAGAAGTATCGCTCTGTGAGCAAATAAAGCACCCTTCCAAACATGAAGGAACTATTTATACTTAATGGTCAAATTTACATATATCGCCCTTCTAAACAGATTTCAAAACATTTTATTTTAGGCAAGTTTGTAACATTCTGACTGGACAATGGGCGTTGATTAAAGAGGCTGCAAACCCCTGAGCTTCAATGAATTAAAGACCAGAAATCACCACAATGTTTACACATCTAGACTGTGACCAAAGATGATGAGCCACAGAGCCTCCCTTCAGGATTAAGATCTCTTTGCACACCCTCAGGAAGCAAGAAGGCAGCATATATAACTTCTATGTTATAGGTAGACAATGAGTCAAAGTGACAGCCCCAAACTGGCACAGTGAGCACGGAGCTTTGCTGTCCCATTGGGCTTTGCTTCCTAGGTAAACATTCTCGCCTCCTAGATAACATGCTTTAAACCAGAAAATCTAATTCCTCAAGCTGAACTCTCCACCAATTACAAACGTTCTCCGAGTCCCAAAGGTACAAATCTAAACTGAGTACAGTGAACTCTTGGAAACTAGAAACTGTTTCATAGGCTCATCAATTGGACTTTTTAAGTTGTAACTGAAAAACAAACCTTGCCAAAACACAAAATTCTTGGATTCACAGTGACAGGCAGAAATGGGTGGATGATGGCTAACCTGGTAATGAAAAACAAAACAGAAGGCAATGACAACAGTGTTAAAATTTCCATAAACAATAGTTTTTTTTGCAATATATATTGGCTATCCCTAAATGAAAGCTACTCTACTGTCTGTCTCTACCAGTGAATTATTCTCAAAATGTAGAAGTAAATTATTGACTCTTTTAAGACTTCATGTTCATAAACAAAGAACTTGAATAGATTTATTTAGAGGGGGCCATTACATAGGTAAACTAAATGAGTTTTTTGTTAATTGGTAGAATGATTGACCCCAAATGGGTTTATCAAAAAGCTATTTTCATCATCAAACTGCCTATGTACATAGAAGCCTCAGTGAGTCCAGTGGGACTTACCTGTTCTGAGAAAAAGCGGAATCCCTTGTCCTCTCTAATGCATTCATAAGTCTCTCCAAGGACAGGGTTGAATGGCTTACTTCCTGCTCTGAAATAGGTGGAGCAATATCCTGAAACTGCAAATGCAGCAATAAGAACCTGTTAAAACATTTAAGAAAGGAAAATAATATAGGAGAGACTACTTCCAGGACTGTTAGTCCCTCATTCCTCTAGATTTTACATACCCTCGTCAATGGGTGCTGACTGGATGGCACGTGCATTTTCTGTTATTTGCACAGACTCTTCATAAACTCAAGGAGGGAAAAGGTAAGCGGAAATGAGAAACTCCTCACATGGGAACCAGCAGGCGATTGAGGCCAAGTACTTCTCATTCACCTGTCACCTCATTTCCTGAGTATCACAGAGTTCAACATTTCCGAAACTCCGTTTATAGATTATGCCATTTACACAGTCTTAGCTCCATGTGCTAAGATTGTGGCTGCTGATGTTTTTCAGAGGACAGGTCAAGGTTTCTACAGTCATGTGGAATAGAGGCCAAGGCAAAGCGTACATGGGAGGTTGCATTCTCAGACTTAAGTGCCCGAACAAGTGGGCTCTCTTGGCATTCAGGACAAACTGATAAAGCAAGGCTAGGCACACCTTCAACCTGCAAGGAGAGTGATACCTTTACATCCTAACTTCAGAAACACTCTGAACCAAGCATAAGTCACAAAGTGTTTATCTTCCAGGAGAATTTCTTACCTATGCAGCGAGAATGTTGTGCAAAAACAAATATGCCATCATAAAGAGTTTTGCCTAAGCCTAGACCTAGGGTTGACAAATCCCACAGAGCACAGCTCTGTTATTTATTTATTACCATGCGCTCATAAGGATCATCGGTTTCCGAAGCCTTGTCCAGAAGCTCACTGTATTCTATTTCCTCGCAGAGATGCTGCAGAGTGTTGAGTGGCTCATTTAGCTCCACAGGCATAGAGACTTTGGATAGGTCTTTACCAATGTTGTTTCTCAAGATATTCCACAGGTTAATGTTACTGGTGTCAGGACAGGGAGCTGGCAGGCGTGTCCGACGTCCGTTTCGGAAGGCCCCCCCTGTAAGCTCCCCATTTAAGACTGAAAGAGGGAGAAAAACGAGCCTCACAATAAAAAATATTTTGCTTTTCTGATTTCATAAACCCTGGGAGGGAAATGACCTTTTCAAATAATTCTGACTGTGATTCATTTCTTAAGCCTTCATTATACTCTCTCAAGGGTGAATGGAATTATTTCAATACAAGGTTGCTAATAAGTGCACAAAACATTAGTATGTAGTTTTTTCAGAGTGTTAAATATACTAAAATTTTATTCAAGAAAAGACAAGTCAAATTCAAAAATAAGAAGGACTGAAACTTTTGGCTTAAGCAAGAAGTAAAACTTTTTCACTTAGCCATTTACCTAACAGATTTTTCAACCATTTGCCTCAATAGATTATACAAATAAAAAACCTACTGAACAATCAGCTGCAAAAGGAATAATCAGTGAGGGGACAAAGTGATTGTTCACTGAAACACCAGCAGTGTGATTGGGCATGTAGACAGAACAATCTGGAAGCTCAAAGGGTGCATACTTTGCCGAGAAATGTTGTCTGCAACACTGGTGTTGTCTTCAGATATATTATCACTCACATCACTGATGTAAGACTCATCGTCTGAAGCCTAACGAAGGAAAGAACACAGAAAGGATAAGAATTCTTGAAAGTTCAGTCTTGAAAGTTCAGAAAATCAAATGATTAAATACAACAAGATGTTGCCCAAATGAGAAGCAGAGGTCATAGTGGGAAATGTATTTGGCATATATGCATTGAACACATGAGGATCTTCCCTGTGCCAAAATATAGGATTGGCTGAGAGCAGCCCTTGTCTTTAAGTAGCTCCCTGTCTGAGCTGGAGTGGGAGGCTGGGGAGGCCAGTACATAACCAGAAATATTTCAGTACAACATAGTAAGAATGTACAAAAGAGGAGGCCCAATGACTCCCCTAGAGGAGTCAGGAGAGCCTGCCCAGAGGAAATAATATTTAAACCGGAGTTGAAAAAGTTGTTAGAAGGGGGAGAAGCACATGAAGAAAGGGGAATGTGCAAAGGCGAGGATCACAAGAGAAATATTTAATCTAGGAATGCTAAAAAGTTGGCTATGACAGAGGGTGGGGAGAACAAGAAGAGGGTCCAAGTATGAGAGCTTTTCATGTCAAGATAAAAGATTCTCATATAATTTTATGAGTTATTAAATGTAAAAGGATGATAGAGTCATACTTAGTTTCTGAAAGATACTTGGCAACTTTCTGCAGGGAGGCCAGGTAATGGGATATTGCATAGATCCAGGTAAGAAACACTGCCAAGCTTAGATTTAAGATGGCCACAATAAGGATCCAGAGACAAAGCTGCTTTGAGAGCCACGTTTGAAGTATAATGAACAAATTTGGCGAATTATTTGGGGTGAAGGAAGAAGAAACAGGAATAAATAAAAAATTAAGCCCCTCTCTACATGAGAAAAACATGGAACTAAAATGAAGCCAAAATTTGCATGAGAATAAAATTAAGGGACAGCATATGTACTCAGGGGAGTTAGAAACAAAGCAGATAATAAAACAGAGGCGCACTGGTAGAGCCATTCAGAGGAATGTGAAAAACTAATGTCTCTACTGCAGGCAAGAGAGCCGTTGGTATTTATTTAACTTCAAAATGAAAATAAAGCTATATTTTTTCTGCATATAAAAACTAAACATTCTTATGTAAAAAATGAGAAATTACACGAGGGTAAACATTATATGAAAACCACCCATAATTCTATCACCTAAATAAAACCACTTTTGACATTTGGTGGGTATTACCCCCAATTTCAAAATGCCTATACAAACATATTGATATATCTATCTTTAGATACTAACAAAGGGAAATGGCTTATACATTATTTTATAGTGCTCAATATCTCAATATATTTCCATTCTAATAAATATAGCTCCTCCTTTTTATTTGGAATGACAACATATTTCATAAGACAGTTTTAACACAAAGAATTTAACCGGCATTTAAGTTGTTTCCAATTTTTTATTAATATAGACAATACTTAGATGAACATCGTTGTAAATATACTTCTGTGAATCCACCTGGCAATTTCATTATTCCTAGAAATAAAGTTGCTGGGTCAGATGGGCCTCTTTAAGCCTTTCGTCCTACGTTGCCAAACTGCTCTCCTGAAAGACTGTATGTTCTTACCGTCAGTATATGAGAGCATCCGCCTCTCCACACCTACTTCAACACTATACTTAACCTTTTTAGCATCTATCTACCTATTCTCTCTTTTTAAAGTTTGAATTTCATCTTTTATTAATTTTTCTTATGTTTCACATGTTTTTCAGTTCATCATGTAGGTTACATTTTTTTCTTAGTTTCTATGCAGAGTTCAGTTCTTTCCAGTTTGGGTTATAGGAGAGAGTCACTCTACTTGCTTCAGCAAGGGACATGGAGTGTCTTTAGCAAAACAGTAACTCCAGGAATCACTCTTTTCACTCCTGGAAGATCCAGAATGGAGGTTGCAAGAGGCTGCAGCTGAGAGCAGAGATTGGTGTAAAGGGTCTTTGTATGATAGCTAAGGAGTTTAGGTCGTTATCCTAAGCACACTGGGGAACAGGAACATGATCAGATTTGCGTTTTAGAAAGATTAATCAAGCTTCCCAGTGAAAAATGGATTAGAAGGGGCAAAAAGGGAAGCAGGAAAACTAGTTATGGAGATTGATAAGGTGATGTAAGTGGGAAAATGATGGATGACTGAATTGGAGTAGTGGCTGTGATGCTATATGAAAATATGGATCTGAGAGTATCTAGGTAACAGCAGTTACAGAACCTGATGATGAGTGACTCAATGTAGGTGGTGGTGGTAGTAAGGCAGAGGAGTGAAGGAAAATACCCAGGTATTTGATGTGAACACCTGGGTAGAAGAGTATTTAGATAAGCCTTATGAGAAGTATGGGTAGGTTTGTGTTTTTTTCCTTGGTGTGTGTGTGTGTGTAAGGGGTTTGTTGATCAATTTGTTTTTGGACATGATGAATTAGAGGTTCTGTAGCGCGCCCAGGTGGCAATGTCTCATAGGCAGCTGGTTAAGTGGATCCTGAGCCAACTCTCACTTTCACTTTATAGACTTTAATATCCGAATGCTAGCCAGATAACTCTACTGAGAAATCTGATAAACACATGATGTCTCAAAGTGAACATATCATCTCCATGCCCCTTTGCCCTCTATTCTCTTGTCCCTCTCTCTGCCATTAGGTTCTCTCTTCTCCTGGGGGTGACACCACCCTCTTGCTTGGACTTGGACAACAATCTGCTTTACATCCTCTTCACTTCTGTATTGCTAGTGTCTGGTGCAAGTGGCAGTTGGGCTGTGCCCCCAGAACTTGGAAACAGGGAAATAAAGTTGCTTTCTGAGAGTTAAGTTATAGTTATCAAATGATGGGTCAAAGCCCAGATAATGTAGAGTCAGGTTTGACTGTAACCTGATTGAAGAAGGAGAAGGACTGGTCAGCAATGGGAGCTCAGAATAGGGAGCCAGAAAATAAAATGCTAGTAGCATGTCTCCAGCATGACGGTCCCTGTGAGACTGGCTCACAGACACAAATATCCCATCCATTTGGCAGGGTATCCCTCTAATGAAGACGAAAGATTGGAGCTATTACATCCTGGCCCTCCTGGCCTTAAGTTCACTCAACTCACTTCTGCTCCCATTCCTTCCTTGCTCACCAAACAACCTCCTG